CTCAGAACCATTTTGAAAACGTATATTTAGAAAACCCCACTGTTTTCTATTCTCCGAGAGATGTAAATGATAAAAAAAAAGATATCTCGCGTTTTTCATCAGCCATTCTATAAACTCACAAGCGTCATCACTCCAGGACATTTCACTTATAATATGATGAAGATTTACGTCATCAGTTATAGGTACAGAAGGCTTAGGGTAAATATTAGCCATTCCACCACATATAATACGATCGGAGGGTTTCCGCAGATCAACTGGTATCTGCCACAAATACCTTCCGTCTGAAGCAAACGGAAACCCATGATCAATGGCCCATAATATATATGTGGGTTTTTCGCTTTCATTATCCACATGAAGTACTTGACCCCGAATATATTTCGAGAAGGGTAAATATTGCACCGCAACTATTTCATTTAAATGGGGTCTAAAGTAACATTGACCACTGTCTCTGGTGCACTCTGCCAGCAAGAGGCTTTCTACTTCCAACACCTTATGTAACGAATCGGGTACATCAATGTAATACCAAAATAGTTGTGGGTTTATATAATGTGTGACAACAATACGAAATCTATAGGCCGCTGAAAATTAAAAAAAGAAAAGAGGAAGAAATTAAATTTTATATTTTATAATGCAATTTATATGTACTGTAAATATTTTAATTATTTAATAACTGGAGAAAATAAACTAATTCCGTCACGAATCGTGAAATGCAACTCTCTTCAAAAACTCTCTTAATTAGATTGCCTTCTATTAAATTATTTAATACTTATTTATTCAATATTAAAGTAAATGTTTAATATATCATATTTAATATATCATATTAAACATTTACTCAATGGAAGCATTGGAGACATGAGTACAAATCCATTTACAAAAATATTATTGATGTGAAGTAAATCAAAATGTAGTGTAAACATTAAATTTATTTTTATATATAAAAATAAAAGTTAATATAAGTTATGTTACATGAATTCTAAAGTATATTATTATTATTAGATAAAAATTTTACAATCAAACAATAAAGTGAAGAGAAAAAGGTTAACCCGCCTAAAAGCAATAATAGAATGTTTCCTTTGGTTTTATTAGATCTGTTAACTTACATAGGATTGCTTGAATTACTTGAATCTCAAGTTAACTGGTCTAACGAAGCTAGTGAAATCATACTTTAAGAAACAATTGCTCTGGATTATATCAAAAGTGAAGAAAATCTGCACTGGCATCACTTTTTCCAACCATTTTTGCCTCTTCCAGAAATTTCTAGATGTTGCAAAAACTATCAAAATACTCCTAAATATTAATAACTGAAATAGTTTATTTGATAAATGAAACTAGATTCAGAAAAGATATAATTTTTAGTATTACGAAAATCCTGAATAAAGATAATCCAACAATATCATCCATTTTATATATTCAATATTAAGAAAGCAGGAATAAAGTATAAATAATAAAGAAATGAAGAATAATTTCACCGAACGAAGGCGTCGAAGACATAATAATCGGAAATCTAATTACGAAAATTGATGTGATGTAGATCAAAATGTAGTGAACATTAACATTGTCTTTATGTATTGAAAATTAATATAAGAACACTAAAATATATTACAAATCTTAGTTATAAAATTTGCAATAAAAAAAATATCTTATTAAATCAGAAAAAACCAACTAAAAGCAATAAGAAAATATTGGTTTACGTTATATCAGAGCAATGTGAAAAAAATGTGCTCACTGGCATCACTTTTTCGACGCCATTGTCTTTGCTTTATCTAGAAATTTGTAGATTTTGCAAGAATTAAAGTATTTTACAATTATGTGATATTCATGTGCTACTCCACATTTAAATTAAAATTTGAGAAAAAAATTTAAAGATATGAATAATTCATATTTTTGATATTAATTAGTAATTATAATTAGCAACTAAAATAGAGACAAAACGTTATAAATACCTTTCTTCTCAGGCGGCCTAGACACTTGGTAGTTGGCCATATTGAATGACTGCAATGAAAAACGCATTATAATTAATTATTATAATTTATTTATAATAAATTAATATTTGTGCAATTGTGAAGCATTTTAATTTAAAACATTTGCGATAAATATATTTAAGTCTTAAACTATTATGATTTATAAAAATTCTTACCTCAACAATAATTTTATAATATAAAAAATTCAAGCACGGGAGAAAATCTAAAAGAACTACTACACTGATTCTCGACTAGACACGGAATGAGAAACTTCGTTAATACGAAACGTACAAATTTTTTCGCATGTTCGAGAGGTTCCGTTATGTGAGACAACTATATGATTTTTGATATAAGTTAGTATGAAATCGAATGATATGTGAAATCTCCTTTATTTACCCCTACCAACGAATAAAGCGAAAACTACTGCGTATTATAATATCATTTCATGTTAATAGCACATTTTAGAATAATAAACTTAATGTGCAGTGTTGAGTAATGAATCAAGTAGGGTTAATTTTTCTTACATGTATATAAACCAGTAGTTCATTTATTTATGAAAAGTCACTGAACAATAAGAAATTACATACCAAAAATAAGCTAAACCAGATTTGTAATGTATTTTATTGTTGCCTCATCATCATATACATTTTATATATAGTAGATCGGTTCTTGTAATTTGTAACTATAAATGTAGTATAATTTGAAATATGTATAAAATCAGAAGTTCCTCAGTCTCTTCCTTTGAGAAAAGTAGATTACGCTATCACAATAGCGCAACTGGTTGTGCACGCTGGACAAGTATAGAGCAAGTTATGACATGTTTGAGTTATAGTCAGCTGTTTAGGTTAAAAATGTTTTAATTGTTATTCTTAAATTTACTTAAAAATATAATCACTGTATTTAATAAGTTTGTTTCCAAAATCTATTTTAAAACTGTTTTTAAAAGCAATTTTAAGAGCGTTTATAACTAAAAATTAAAAGTACTTAAAAAGTCTCTGTCAGCTGATAACTAATACTTAAATGCAAAAACTACTCTTAAAAGTTCAATTAGTTGTGCCGTAAGCAATCAGCTGACTTGTTCTGTTCAATATGCCGATTTAAATTAACAAGTTTGGAATAAGTTTTACAACTTATAGGTCACTTTTTAGGGCGTTTTTCATAGTTTCGATTTTTTTATATACCCAATATTTTGCCCAAATCTAATACAAAAATATTAGATTGATTTAAAAATGTTCGATTGGGTTACAAAATTTGAGGTACCGAAAGTAAATCTAAAGTGAAAATTTGAATTAAATTCTGTTTTAATATCGAAAACGCCAGTAGAAAAAAAAACATTTGATTATTTATGTCGAAGTTCAAATTGCGGGAAACATAAGAATGCATTGAACGTAGGTTTTTGACGTAAGCGTAGGAGAAATATTATAACAGCTGATAGATACATGGAGTAATCACTTTATATTTCTTTGTGTGCAAATTATTTGGTGATCGTATTGAACGATGCCAACGAGACACGAAGTATATTAACTTTGAAATAAATCGAAGAACTATATTTACCGATTTATATATTCATTATTTTATGCACTATAACTGTTTAATAAGATATATGTATACTTTTTGCTATATAACTGAAGTAGAGTGATTGAGATTTTCCGAAATAAATCTGTGGATTATGTTAAAAGATATGTATATGCAGTATTAATGCATATTTGTTTAACTGTTTCATAAGATAAAAATATTTTTGTATCACTAAAATTATTTGAAATCTTTTAAATTGAATTTCTACGAATTTACTGAATTTCAAGTAGGCTATGAACCTACTGGAAAATGCTAAATTTAAAAAACTGTTAGCTAAAATTATATCAATTAGGTCAAATGAGGTATCCAGGACAATATTAGTATGATATAAATACCATAAAACAATATGTATTGATTATTAAATTTGGTTAGGTTCGGTTGTACGGGCGATCCAAAGAGATCCTCTTATTCTTTTGGTTCATTATGTTATCGTATAAGGGAAAAACTAAGGGGTTTAAAAGTACCTTAAACATTTGGCAAAGTTTACAATGCTATTTAATGAGAGGTCCTGCAGTTGATCAAGATTCTCAAAAAAGCAAACCTCTAGAGTAGTAAAGCACCTAGCCTGTTTTTGGGGATGAGTAAAGCATATGAGAGGTACTTTCATCGTCTTCCCCACAACTGCGACATATATAATTTAAAAGGAGATTGAATTTTAAATTAGTTTGACATAAACTTTAAAAATTAATAAAACAATATTAAATATTTTAACTACTGTAAAGTTTATAATCATTTTTTATCAGGGCCGGTTTTCGTTTCGGTTCAAGACAAAAAAAATATATTGTTTCAGTTCCGGTTTTTGTTTCTGCAAAATTATTGGTTTTTTGCGGTATTCGGTTTGGTTCCGGTTCGATGCCCTACTTTTTATTATATTTTTGAAAAATGTGTTTTTGACGTTATGTTTACATATTCCTACAAAGTATTAAAATAAAACAATTTGTTATTCTTCTTCTTATATTTACAATTTATTCCGGTGTGCTATATTATTCCTTTATTCTTATTACAAACCTAATAATTTATCAAATCTTACATGCAACATTAACTGCTTTACCGAACATTAAACTGATAAATCAGTTAAATTTGAAAAAATTTAATCAAGTTTATAGTCGCAAAACGGTTTAGTGTGTCAGAACAATACTCTCATTTCGGGATCCACTCATATACAATATATCAAACAAGAAGCATCCATATATATGATAAGATAACCTGCGTCAAAGTATTTATAAAAACGAGTATTAAGAGATGATGAGTCGTATATTTGAGATATCATTCAAATGTAACATAAAAAATGTCCTTGTATAAAATTTTATTACAAAATTCCTTAAACGCAACATTAAAAATAAGTTTGTTAACGCGATGCGTAAAAATACTCATCCTTCATTCTTCAGCCAATATTGCGCGATAATTAAAACTTCAAACATGTCACGTGGCTGTCGATAATCGCATCAAAGCTACATCACGTGCATTATCTGTCATTTATAATCTGTAAATATATTTATTTTCTGATGCAGAATATGACTATTGCTCGAAAAATCGCTACGAAGTAAAGCCACGCCACATATAATTACAAAATCAATGAAATGCGACAAGCTCATGTAATCGACATCAGCAGCATTTAAACAGCCGCAAAATAGTATCTCTTATCACTCTGGCATCACTAGCGTTGTGTGCTGCGTATCTGTATAGATATTAAAGTAACTATATATATATGTATATAGATAATTTCAACATTAATGTATTTGTTTAGATACTTAAGTGTATTGATTACTCCTATCAGGTTCAGCAGATTATTAGTTGCATCCGCCTATGTCATATACATTCTGTCATTGTTTGTTTATCTGCTCTAATACTGTGGTTACTGCATTTCTTTTTTTCTACAATGACTTTTCTCTATTGAATTATCATAATTATTAAATTATATTTAAGCAATGCATTTGTGGAAACTATTGTATTGTATCTATAATCAGCGTTTCGTTTGCACTCACATACACTCATTTTGCAGGTGGGGATTAATTTTGATAATGTGCAGCTAAACTTATGCAATCTGTCAATAATGAATGATTGTAATTTATTAAAACTTCCGATTTCACGCTCTGACATAATATATAGTGATTTCACCACCACACCTCCTCGTAGCGGTGTTAAAGGGTCTTAGCGCATTTTGAATCATTTATGCATAAAGTTTCATTTAAAATTAATTATGTTTAAAATATTGTGAAAACACTGTGCAACAATATTTTAAATGAAACGCAACAAAAAAGGAAGGTGGAATTAAAATTCTACAAATAGACATCGATTATGAGAGACTCTACATTATATTATACAGTTTTAGAGTCTAAATGGATATATCGCTGTTAGGCAATATATTAATATTTATATTAACATTTTAACGAACTGAGCTATATTGTAATATTATTGAGTTCCTGAAATTAATTATGAGATAAATTATCTATTGCGGTGTGGCCTGTGATAGTTTACTGTTATATTGAAATATTATTGGGTTCCTGATATGAATTAGAAGATGAATTACCTACTGCAGGATGGCTTGTAATAGTTTACTATACTATATTGTGATATTATTGGGTTACTGAAATGAATTATGAGATAAATAATCTATTGCGGCGTGACTTTTGATAGTTTACTATGTTATATTGTAACGTTATTGGGTTCCTGAAATGAAATACGAGATGAGTTATCTATTCCGGTAGGGTTTATGTTAGTTTACTATGTTATATTGTAATATTATTGGATAAACTTGTAATAGTTTACTATACTATATTGTGATATTATTGGGTCCTGAAATGAATTACGAGATAAATTATCTATTGCGGTATAGTGTATGTTCGCTTACTATGTTACATTGTAATATTATTGCATTCCTGAAATGTTGATAAATTATCTACTATGGTCAAGTGTGTGTTAGTTTACTATGATATAATTATAATATTTTTGGGTTCCTGGAATGAGATCCAAGATAAAATATGTATTCCGGTATGGTTTGAGTTAGTTTATTATGTGATATTGCGATATTATTGCAATGCTGATGAATTCAGTATTGGGGTATAAGTTACGGACTTATAATAAAAACTATGCGGTCACTGCGACTCTTTGGCGTATATGAGATAAAAAGGAATATTTTGGTTTACAGCAAACTTGTAGTGCTAACGGGTTGATGATTCAATGGTCGAACTTCCGATAAGCGAACTGTATAGAAACTGCCATACGAAGACGAGATGGAATCTATCAATCTCTTTTTATGATTTTATATGTCATTATCGAAGACCTAGTGTATAGTAACTGCAATATCGTTACCTTACTGGTCTTGCAGAGATAATGAAAATAGACTTATAGGATTTGTTTTAATATCAATTATGCTCAAAGGATGCAGTGACGTGGTGGCATAGTTCCCAACCTTTTTAAAATCGAATAGTATCATTTTGTTTTGAAATTGTGTATTTTTTTCAAAATGAAAAGTGTGTGACATATACCTCAATTCTAATCGTTTTAATCCTATTTTTACAAATACTTTTCACTACAAGTCACATCAAATTATGTAGTTAGTTATCGCTGGGCCACGCAAGAGATACATGTATGCGGCTTTTAACCATTTTTGAACATAGGTACATAAATTACACTTATGATTGATACATAGTTCGATTAATCCTTAACTCTTTTAAGACAA